GTTTATCGCAAAGAAGAAAATAATTTGATACTTGGAAAAAAAAAAGAAACGTACGGGATGATCTGCGTCCAATTCGGATCCGTACATGAGCACGTTTTGAGCCTGATCTAGATCCGATATTTTTCGTGGGAACCATGGCATATCTACCTCACTGAAATCTAATCAAAGTTACGAACGGAATAATTAATTTTCGAAATTGCTTTGTTGAAATTACTTTAAGAAAATTTCATTTAAAAAATGATTATTTCGTAAATTATTCGTAGTCGTCGAAAATAACGTAAGTAATTTAGGACGATACATATCCGAAGGGGAAAATGATGGATGATGACTTACCAAAACTTGGAGCCGCGGAAAGCGATGGAGCGTGAGGGATATTTCCCATTTGCTCGTATTGCGCTAAATTAATGGCGGCAACTTCTCGGCTCAACATTCTGGTCAACTGTTCCATCCTTTTCGAATCGCATTCGACATCGACGAGGATCTCGTATTCAGAACCGCGGCGCACAGATTTCCGTGACTCGATGTGAATGACATTCACTCCCAAATCCTTTGTATAAAATCGAGAATAATATCGAGAAAATATATCTTGATTAAAACTTTCAAATATTTTTTTATCAAGAAATAAAAAATTTTATAGATACTTTTTTATATTCGTATACGAGATTCTTATAAGAGATTCGTATAAGAGATTCTCAAGAGATACTTTTTCTTTTTTAAAAAAAATAATATAAGATTGTATTATTTTTAGATAGAAAAATAAATCGATAAAATTATTATTGGTTTCCTTTTCAATCGTTAAATCGTTATGCTTCGTTGTATTATGCAACAATAAATAAATATCGTACCTGAAAAACTTGCAACGCTCGTGCCAAACCGCCGATTTGATTTTTCAACGAAAAAACGACGGAATTCTTGTTATCGTTGTTGTTCGATTTGCGCTCGACCATGGGGATCTGAACGAATGAAAGAGCATATCTACGCTTTACGTTCTACTCTCGCCACGAATTTATCTATCGTTTCTTTTCTCGTTACTTATTAACATTATATCTTCACGCTAATACAGATCTTAGCAATTTCTTCTTAGAAAATGATGCATGTAAGAAAAAAATCAATGAAGATAATTAAAAATCATCGCGCATAATTTAAAATAATCCACCGAACGACGAAATACGAGAATATGTACATAAGAAACGAAAAAGGAACAATGAAAAAAATTAAAGAAAAAGAAAAAGAGAGAGAAAAAACGTTCTACACTGCACCAATTTTGAATACAACGTACATCACTCGACTTGTGAATGGGGCTTCCTTCTTTAATGGCCCAATTGTCGCCTCTTCTGTATAACCACACCCCGAGAAGACCTTTTCCAGAACCACTCATAATTAGACGGCGGATACGAAACAAAAATAAAATATTACGATCTTCAATTTATTTAATTCCTATTCTAAATAATATATTCTCTTTCTTTAACGAGAGAAAGAAGAAACGATATTCAAAATACTCTTATTAATACTATTTTTTAAATCCTCTCTACTAGATTAGTTTAATTTTTTCTAAATTAATTTTTCAAACGATTAATATTTCTATCGTTCCAACTCTTCAAATCGTACTATTATGATTCTAAGTTGCGTGATAACACAATTTGATCACAATTTCTCTTCACGAAATTAAGAAGAAGAGATCACTAGGTAAGTTGAATGATTCGCCTCTTCAAGGACCACGAGCAACAGTGTCCCGGTACCAGTATCCTCCGCTCTTCTTAAGACCTCGGTCCCCTCCGTCTACGCGTCTTTCTCAATGACGATCTGGTCGCGATTGGTCGACGCACAGCGGTACGAAGTTTCCCTATTGGTCGGATAAGACTTTTCATGGGGTTGAAGAGGAGCGTTGTTGGCTCACCTCATTTAACGGCAACTGTGCCGGTTCCAGGATCTATTCCTGGTGACGTCACTGGAGTCCACAAAACTGTGGGTGGTTTCAAGACGAAGGGAAGAAGAAATTGCAAGGTCCTCTACTACTATTTTTTTTTCTTTTTTTTTTTTCTCTTATATCCTCCTCCTTCGTTCACCAAAGAATTCATCCTGTTCTTTGACGAAACGGATTCTTCCTCGGATTTCTGGGCCAAGTGAAATTAGTCTGGCGAGGAAAAGACACGAATCCAACCTTTCGTGATTCCTTGATCAGCATTTGATTTCAATTCTAACGGAGATTGTTGCGTCATCGAGAATTATCACTGTAATATTTATTACTATTATTATTTTATGTGTAATTGTATTATTATTATATTTAATTTTCTTTTTTACTATTATATATTCCTTTTATTCCTCTTCAATTTCACAAGTGTTATAAATATTCCAATTGATATATTGAATAAAATATTTATCAGGATACGAAACTGTAAAATCTGAAATCAAATTTTTTAATTATTAGATTAATAAATGATTATTTACCTTTTGTTTTAAATATATGTAACGTGTACATACACATGTTGTATTGTACAAAATGTTGCGCAATGTATTATAATATATTAATATTAATATACATATATCAATAATCCAATAATTCGAAGTTGGAGGAACAATATATTGGTAAATATAAACCATATCCTTGAATGAGAAAGTGTTTTTTCGAAGGATGGGATTATTTAATTTTTCTGTTTTTTTTTTTTTTTTTTCCTTTCTTTCTTCTTTAGAAAGACAATCGTTCCCGCTTTCGTGTTTCTTTTTCCACGGAACAAAGAGCGTGTTTAATAAAAGCCCCGACTACGCTCGTGGCAAAGCAGATGCAGCACATTACCAATGTCCATCACTTACCACTATCAGCTACCACCCTTGCTGAATTATACCGAGCGTTCCTGTGGCATTAAGAGAATTGAGAATATCGTTCGATCAGCGGAGAGGATATTTTATCGCCGAGTCTGCCAGTCTCTCAATCGTTGAAATTACATTTATGTATGATAAATGTATCGATAAATGGGGAATAAATATTTTAATCGATCGATCAAAAGATTCTGTATTGTTCTGTTGAAGATGATCAATCGTCCAGCAGATAGGCTTTCAATATATTTCGATTGTTGTTCGATCTGCAAAAGTGTATGAAAATTAATTACTTTTTTTACAATATGAGTTTATTAACATGAGAAAATTTGATCTTTGAATTTTCAAGAAGAATTAATCGAAACTTACGTTAAAATAATAATAAGAATTTTGTAATATATTTATAATTTTACAAAAATATTATTGAATTGTGACTCCTCTTGAATCGTACCCGCATCTTGAAATTCATTTCTCATTTACAAGAGGTTCTACTACGAAATATGATATCTCCTATCTTATCATCCTTTGAGCACAAAGTTGAACTTTCGTAATTTGTCTCCATTGTATTTGCAAATAAAGTGTTCGAGACTCCATTGTTGAATTACAAAATAGAAATTTGATTTTTGTACAGAGAATAAAATATTCTCTTCAGAAATTTAGATATAATTTTTTTTTATAGATATAACTATTATTTTTTCAGGGAAGTTTGCACATCAAATTGGTCGATACACGTTCTTTCTTCTTTTCTATAAATATTCTTGGAAAGGTTATCGAGCTGTGCATTATCTATGTATATTTTTGCACAATTTTCTAATATCTTTATCTTTAAATTTTAAATTTATTTATACTAAAAAAAAAAAAAAAAAAAAAAAAAAAGACTCAAGACCTGTTTTGATAATACATTTCTTCTTCTGTTTCAAATCAAATTCAATCAAATTAAATTTCAACTTTTTTTTAAATTCTCTTACTAAAGTATTGATACAAATGGACCTTTTTAAAGGATTTAATCGATTAGCGAAAAGTAGAAGAAGAAGTAAATAAGAACAAGATGATAGGTATTCGTTGTTTGCCGAGAGAAAGATCCTTTCGGATCGTGCTCTTAGCACGAATAAGTGGGCTACTGATTCGAACAAAGAAGTTACTTACAGAAAAGAATGAATGAAAATTAAGAATTGGAAAAAAAAAAATATCTCATTTACATCGAATAAATTGAAAATGATGCTATTACGAATAATGATTCTATTATAGGCAGATTTAATTTTGGCGCGGATCCAATGCAATGCAAATCATGTATTCTTCTGTTGAACATAGCTTTCTACATAAGTAAATAACTAAACTTTAAAGAGATTGAAGATTTTGATTCAAGAAATCGCGAAGAAACGCAAAATCATGGGTCCAATTGTGTAAAAGCTGTGTCTAAACTTTAAACGCCCTGAACTTCTTTAACTCGATCAACCGGTATTATACTATCAACTATTGCTCTTTTCCTTCTATTCTCTATACTTATCTAAAATGTCTTATCTAAAAAATTATAATCCAAAAATATAAATTACAGATATTTACTTATTAAAAATATATATGAAATTATAATCTAATATTCAAAATACATCTAATATTTCAGTCTCCTTGATAAACGAAACAATCGACATAAATCTTATTGTGGAACATATATATATATTCCTATTTTACTGAATTCTTATAGTTCATATGCTATATACATATGCATATAGTCGTCATAATGCAAACATCCTCTATATAGTTCTTTCAATATCCATTTCTATTATCAGAATTAAAATGGAGACGAGAGTTTATTCGAATTGCTCTATCCCCGAGATAAACTCGTATAAACGAAATTCTACTCCTCTCAATTTATAGCATGAGACGCGTTAAAAGGCTTCTCGTTAACACGAGACTCCGTCCGTGTTAACCGATTCATCCTCGTTTTTCCTCTGCTCTGAAGAGTGATTTCACCCACCCTCTCCAAGCGTACGAAACTCTAGATCGTGGGACGTGTATCAATATTTTCGTTGTGCGCGTTTTCGAGGTGGCGCAGTGAGTCGTCACGATCGGGTCGCCCCGATTGAAATATTAAATCGGGCAACCGTATACGTGTGCGGCCAAGGCGTTTCAGCCACTCGGCTTCTCCCGTTCGATTTCCTGGCGGCGCGTTCACGGAAAATCATCGGATGCGCGACGCCCACCACGCAGGAATCAATAGGGGGACGTCACGAGCGGCGTCGAAGCGTTGGTGCTCGGCCATCGTCGTCTCCAACGCGAGCGACATCTTGCCTCTACTTTCCGGGGGTCGACGAGCAGCTCTCCTCCAGGCCGTCACGGCCGCCTTCAGGATCGACCCCACGCCGTGTGTTTTTTCATTGGTCCACCGCAGAATGGCCGACACCGAGTTCGAGGAATTCCGACATTACTTCGAAAGACTTCCGCAGCATCTCAAGGCACCGCTCTCCAATTACACGTGAGCAATCCGTTTACTTTTCGTATTCTGAAAACGAGAATATTCGTTAGTAGGATCTTAGGATGCTCTTCACGTTTCGAGTATATTATTTCTTTGAGAGGGCATTCGAACAGGGCATCGATGACATCGTTTTTTTTGAGGCAATACGTGTTTCCATGTCTATCTTTTTTTTTTTTTTTTTTTTATACAGTGAAGTATGGATTTTTAGACGGAACGTTTTTTGGTACAATGACCGATTTGAGACGACCTTTGACGTAAAGGGACACCTTGAATGGGGGTTGCGTTATCGACGTTGTGACAGGGTTTCTGGTTGCTGTAGTGGGTGACCGTATTTTCTTCAGGTTGAGTCGTGAAACATTACAGAAATGATAGAAACGTGGTTATCAAATGAATTTAATTGATGACGTTTGGTATGGAATCAACGTGTCAATTTTCACAACTGATGCATGCAATTATGATAACAGAAAACGGAATTCGTTTCATTCAATTTCTAATTCTTATCAATATTCGTTCACACAAGAATACTTGTGATTTTCTTTTTATTAATCTATTTGTTGTGACTTCATATCATTGTGAAAAATTATATATTGTGTCTTTGCAACTTGTTTCTATTGACGAATAATTTAATGTGTATCTAATAAAATCATCGTGGCAATTTATTGTTTAGCACCACTTTGGTTCAGTCTATCGCAGAAAAGATTAAAGTAGTAAGAAATTAAATTGAAAAGACTGTGGAAGGTGCGGTCTATGCTGTTCTCTGTATCAAATAAATTTCTATGTAAAATAGTTTCCAAAATTCCAACATTTGATTGGATCTAAACAAATTGATTAATAGTTACTTTATAAAATTAATATATGTTGTTATTTAATTAATTTTTTTTTTTCGATTAAATCGAATACTCTTTTATTTACATCATTTTATATTTGACATGTTATTTATACGTAGTAATTTTTTTCTTTTTAATTTTATCAAATATTATAGACAAATTTAAATTCACATTTTAAAAGCTAGATATTTTAAAAATAGATAGTTTTTCTAGTCGTTAAATTATATCGATCGTAGATTGAAAATGCAATGTATAGGTGACAATTTTCTTTATTTATGAATGCATGTATGTTAAAACGGTGCGAAATAAAATCGATTGAAGTCCGTCGCGTATGTGAAATCGTTTCCACTTTATCTGTCAATCTTAATTACTTCCTCAACAAATAAAGCTATTCATGAATGCATCCCAATTTTTATCATTATCTAATCTTTCATCTTCCATTTTCAACGATAAATTGCTTATAATTTTCAAATGATGAAATGATTCTTTGTTTTCGTGATTATAATTAAATTTATAAACTGTCGTTTCATTTCTCAAGGAATTGAATTTTTTTTTAACTATAATAAACATTGAAATATAAAAGATATATACATATACCAAGATTAAGATAATATTTTCATTTACCTGTTAGTAGAATTCGAATATTTCTTGATTATGACGAGACATTTTATGATAATTCGTACGTGTTAACTTTGATACATTTGATTTTTGAAAATGTTGGATAATGCTTTCACAGAAGATGCGATATTTAAACGACGACATATCGATTTCGTTAAAAAATTTCTATCAATTTTTCTGCATCTAACGATGAATTAATTTTCCAAATTGTTACTCTCGAAAATAGGCTTGTTCACGATGTGATGATAGACGATTCGCCGACCTCGTCGCAGGATAGCGATGCGGAGGTGGAGAGATCTTGCGACGGAGTCGCTGTCGATTCCGAGGATGAGGAAGTGGTGGTCATTCATCGACACGATAATCAAAGCGGACATACTTCCGGAGATGATAGCGAAGATCTTGATCATAATTGTTCCATTGTAGCTGATAGCGACTTTAGGTTGGTAACCTCGTAAGTGTTAACCTACTTCTTCTTTGGCCTGCAAACATAGATTTTATTAAATTTATATTCTTGGTCTAAAAACTAATGATATATTGAGAAATTATCGAATTATTTGATCAAAACTTTTTTTCTATGTGTTATATAATATCATTGACACGATGTAAATTGAAGTGAATAAAGTTCATCTTGAACTTTATTCGAAATAATTAGAGGATTTCTTGCTTGAAGGAACATATCGAGTTCTCTAATTATTTCAGAAGTGCGTTCATAACTTCTGAATTATTTTTCATGTTCAATTAATTATATATACGTATCATTGCAGTATTGATTAAGAATCAATATTTAATTAACTAAATTCAAAACTAAAATTTAAAATTTAATCTTGTATCTATTACAAACCTTTTTTGAGCATAACTTTTTGTGCGTAACTTGCATGCAAAAAGTATGTATCCGTTTTAATTCGAAACATTTTCAAATTTCCTTTTATAGATCTAGAAGGTTATAATTATTTTTAAACGTTCCCTATTTTCTTTAAAAAAAAGCTATCGATATTTTTTCATTTATCTATCGATATGCATTTTAAAAATGCATTATGGTTCAGGCAAGTTTGCATGTCGATTCATTTGCAGCTAGGATAGTTACCCTGTGTATTTCAGTATCATGTGTGTCTTGCATCTACAGAAGAAGTAAAAATCCCCTTACATAGTTGAAACATTGAGAACAAATTACATAACATAATCTAACGATAGATGTAACTAACGAAAACGTGTTATATCAATCGAATTAAATTTGCAAAAAAAAAAAAAAAGAAATATTTATCGTTCAAGAAATTCTATGGTGTAAAAAATCAAACCTTGTAATCCGTTCTCAATTGTGATTATAACTTGGTAGTGCTAGCGGAAATTCCAAAAAAAAAAAAAAAAAAAAAGAAGTACAACCTACACACTTTAAATGGCATGGTGAAAGGTAGCTTAGCTCACTACACAACTACCCTTGGGTGACATTAGCTTGTTCGGTGGACTGAGCAGCAGGGGTCGATCAGCAGGCGTCGGTGGACCGGGTCCTGGTGGAGGTAGTACTACCGGATCCGGTAACGGTGGTAGAGATAGCGTAGTCAGCGACGTCGGAGATTCCTGTTCGAGTTTGAGTTCCTGGCCGACACCGGAACATGTGCCCTCGAATCGTCCTGGAAGCGGTAGCACCGAGCGCAGACGTCGAAGATTACCGGAAATCCCTAAAACGAAAAAATGTAAGAGAATTAAAATGTAAATATCGATGTTTATATATCCTTTTAGATTATTACCTACCTTTCGTAAATTCGAGTAACTAATTAAATCCTTCTTAAGTTATGTATTATAAGACAGTAGAAAATGGTGATAGTTCATTGGAAACGTTCATCTAGCTTCTTTACCTCATATTTTCCTCGCGAGAAAGAATGATAGACAATGATATATATATATATACATAGTAAAATCCAGCATCTTTTATCAAAAAAGGTTAGTACGGAAAAGGGGTTGTTACATCTTGAAGATCTTGATTAAAAAATGCGATTCCAAATTCCAATATCCAAGTCTGCAACAATATATTACGAATCAATATTTATCATATCATTATACACTTGTCATTATCTATTGCGATTCACCGATCACTGACAATCACCACATATTTAACCGCAGAATCGACGACCGCAGCGAAAGAAAATCCATAATGACATTTAACTTACGTCATACCACTTGTTTGAGATCCATACATCTGATCATGACTTACTCACCTGCAGTTACGATTGGTTATATTTGTAGTTATACAATGATATGTATCAAACGCGTTATGATTACGCAATGATTTTTTATACATTCGGAAGGTGAACATATAAAGTTCTCATGCTTTCAAGAATCTTGTTGTTGCAGAAGAAGGTAGTCATCGTTTCATTCGTCGCTTCAATTCAAAATTATACGTTTATTATTTGTTTTATAGAATAATTTTATAAATAAAACATTTTTCTTCCAGCTTTACCTATTGGACAAACGTCTATGCAGTCCTCGTCGTCTCTAGCAGACGAATTGAACGCAGCAACTGGTTCTAATTCCAACCGACCGCATTTAGTTTTACGAAAATGTCATTCAAGGCTTCGTCATGAGGATAGTTCACCCGATAGCGAGCGAATGGCCACCGACAGTGGCCATTCTACTGCTCACTCGCCAGAAAATGGGCCAAAAAGTGTATCGCCGATACCTTGTAACACATTACAGAACACGGATTCTGTTTCGCCGAGTAGTACACCAGGTGACTTTTTCTCGTTTTTTGGCAAACTTACTACGAAAACATCATTTTTGAAAAATATTATTTGATAAAAATTTTTATTTCTTTATCGATTCAATAAAATATTATTGTTACTTACAATTTTTCATTATAATTTTCATCATAATGCTCTCAATGTCGCTTCGAAGGAAGCGGCGGTGTACCGTTTACTCAACTGGAACTATTGGAGGCAACGCATCGAGGATTACACAAATTCGTGCCAAGACACCACGATGAGATCGATCTTGAAATTGGCGATCCTATTTACGTTCAAAAAGAGGCCGATGACCTATGGTGTGAAGGTTCGAACATTGTTTATCGTTTCAATCTTTATCAAAGTTTCGAGACTTTCTCTAAAAATACGTAATACATAACCTATTTTTCTTATGTACTTATTGCATTGAAGGTGTGAACCTGAGAACAGGTCGACAAGGTATCTTCCCCTCGGCTTATGCAGTCGACATGGATTACAGTGATTTTGATCCATCGGCACCAAAAGTAAAAAGGGAACGATACCTTTTAGGTTATTTGGGTTCCGTAGAGACGTTGGCACACAAAGGCACTGGTGTTGTTTGTCAAGCGGTTCGAAGAATCGTCGGAAATTCACAAGAGTCACCTGTTTCACAAAGTTGTATCTTAGAAGTATCCGATCAAGGTCTTCGAATGGTCGATAGAAGTAAACCACGGGTAATTGAAGATAATCGATTCGATTAAATTATAATAAACAAAAGTATAAACAGAGTAATAATCTCTTGCAAATTATATTGTTTGAATTCAATAATATGTTCCATTTTTTCTTTTTTAGAAAAATCAAGGACCTTGCCATGACTATTTCTATTCGCTTAAGAATGTCTCATTCTGCGCCTTTCATCCTCGCGATCATCGCTACCTCGGCTTCATCACGAAGCATCCTACCTTGCAAAGGTTCGCTTGCCACGTGTTCATTGGCCAAGAATCCACGAGGCCCGTTGCCGAAGCTGTCGGGTATGTATATCATATTATTCTTTCTTATTATTATTATGATATCTTCATCATAATACATTATTTCATTTCATTTCTCTGAAAATCAATTGAATAGAAATTAATTTATTTCTCGCTATTATTTCTGATTTTATCTAAAGATTACGTAATTTAAATTTCTTTGTTCATGAAAATTATATTCATATATTATAAATCATCTTTTAAAACGATCAAATCATCAAACTTATAAAACGATTATTAAAAGGATGATTATTGTGATTATTATTATTTAAATGTACAATATTTCTTTTTCATAGGCGTGCTTTTCATCGGTTCTACACGAAGTTCATCGAGACTGCTTTCCCGATAGAGGATATTTATATCGAATAGATTATACTGCTGGCCTGTCGTATAGCAGCTATGGAGGAAAAGATAAATCTCACATTCCTTTGTCCCCTGTACATACTGCCCTTAGTTGTAGATAACTAAAAGAAAAAAATGATTAACGCGAATCAAACACCCAATTTCGAGCAACTTCGGGAAGCGTCACGACGGGACCGACTATTCAATGTCGTCTAATTTTGTTTTAACATTTTATAATTTAATTTATTATATTTTATATTTCGATTGTTTTTTGTTTCTTATCCACTTCCAAACAACTTATCACTTTCCATTTACGCACGAATCGATCCATCGTTACTATGAACAATTTCACAATTAATCACAATAATCTTTTCACTTTCGTTTCTATTTATTTCTGCGATGGGACGCGGTGACTTGAACTCCGGGTGAAAAAAATCTTTAATATTTAAATAACTACTAATACTAATTACTTACCAGATAAGAATTAATCGCTAACCTTTCGATCCTTCGACCAAATATCCATATAGCGACACGTAGAACGAGACAAAAACAGACAATAGTGTGGATCGTTCCAATGTTTTATTTTTAAATAAAATAAAATCGAACAATTTCGTTTGAATTCTTTTTTTTTTTTTTTATCGTGTCGACTGATCGATTTTATTTCAACCGTCTAAACGTTTCGAATTTGCTTTCGCTCCGAATTACGTTTAAATTATGGCAACGAAAGAATATCGTTTTCCGTGAAAGAAAGAAAACGATCTCCAAACGCGCCAAGAGATATTATTGTATTGTATTTAGAGACACGTCTATTTTTCTATCTTTCTTTTTGAAAGAATCGTTAATTATAGATTGCGTTATAAACTATAAGGCTTAACGTTTTACGATCTATTCAATTCCGCGAGTTCTGGATGATTCGAATCGCAAAACGACGATTGATCGAAACGCACATTGGCCTCCCTGAATCTCGATTATGACTATCGATTGTACTGCGTTGCAGCGTTTCGCGAACTTTCATGCAGGACGAATCAAATCGCACGCACCGAACGATGAAATATCGATCTATAATATATAAAAAAAAAAGAAGTATATAAATAATCGCGATTATTAATTTGTACCACTCTCATTCTAATGTTCGATCGTGTGTCTCATGATAAGTCTCGTACGAAATTTCTTACCTATTAAATATTTCTTCGATACATTTATTTTATAACCAAAAATTTTATTATCAATTTTTTCAAATTATTTTTTTTTCTTGTACATATTAAAAATTAATCAATCTTTTTAATTATCATTTATACGATTACGTGCTTGGGATTTGATCCACGCTGTACACGTATTGAACTGCTCGGTTATACAGTATGTTAAATAAAAATTGAGAGATAAATTGCAGTGCTTACTCATTACTAGGAGACTCTTGTCTGCACCATCGTCTATCAATTATACGTGCCTTTGATTGAGATCGCCTCGAGTATCGTGCCTTTCCGATTATTTTCTCATACAGGTACAAATTAATATCATCCGCGTGTGTATAAGTCACTTATTCTTGAATTTTTTCATAAACTGCATCATCGAGTAGAATAAAAAGGTGCGTGATGCAAAAAACGAATCACTTTGGCTACATTTATGTCCGTTACCTCCAAAACTTGATTAAAAAACGTCGATTTAATTGTGATGAAAAAAAAAATTTTTTCTGAAAGCGAAACCTGTGTTATATCGTTCTTTCTTCTCGATTTTAATTTTTCGATGTTTTTGTCGTCGATACATTAGATTGGGGATTCGATTCGATCTTTCGCTCGATCGATATATGTATAAATTAAGATACACCTAGTTACAATTTTCGTAGCGAATAAATCCTTGTTATCAATTTTTTTTCTTATCTCAGTAGATATATATAAATGAACAAAAGGCTTTGTTTATCGAGTTAACACTCGAAAAATACACGCTTCTTTCATTCACGAAATATCTTGGAAGCGTTGGCCATTTGTTCTTTTCCAATACTCATGATCCAAATGAATCCTATATACTTAGCGGAACGATTTACTTGTTTCTTAGATGAATGCTCAAAAAAAAAAAAAAAAAAAAAGAGAAGAAAAAGAAATAAGAAAGAAGAAAGAAACAAATGTTTAAAAACAAAAATTTTATGGGGACAAATAAAATATTATAAAATATATATACAATAAAATGATCGCAGCTCGAAAGAATATGAGGAAATGCTATCAGTTATATGGTGATGTTTAATGTGATAAGGTCTGTAATACTGTCTTTGCAGGATGGTCGGTCTTGCAGTTATTTTAAGATCCTGTTGTGTAATAAATATAAACTCATAATTTTAAATATTTTATTATCTTATTGTAATTTTTTTTATATTTGAACAATTAAATATATTGAACGTGCATTGATTCTATGAAACAGATAGGACATTAGGAGTAAAATACATTTAAATGAGGGTTGTAATCTTTGTAATTTTCATATAATTTTTACATATATTTCTTTCAGGCAGTATTATTTACAAAAATGTTCCACCTTCTACGAAGTCTTGATAATTCAGTCTTGACACAAGTTATACGTGTATATGATCCCAATCATTATATTTCTGCTTTCGATTATATTAAGAAATTTATTCTTTTTCCATATTCATTATTTATGCTTGCTTACATATGCGTTTTATTATAATTATTACTCATATTAAATATATTTAAAAATAGAAATTAGAAAATGATTACTACAAGAACGCAATCCATTAGATATATAGTTATTTAAAAAAGGAAAAATATATATTTTACTCGTTTTCTTTCGTTTTCATTTCATTAGAGATTGGAAAACGAGTCCTTCGAAATTAATGTTTGTATGTATGATAAATTTTCATTTTTTTTTAAATTCATTCGTTCCAACTTCTATGTTGACATGAGCAACGCGACTGTAAACATTTTTATAAATTTCTGCATGAATCATTCTCATCGTGCATAGTAATATTCTTTCTCTCAATTCTTTTTCTCGATTTGGAAGAACAGAGGAACGGAATTCAGTTACATATTTTCTATCGTTCTTTGGCAATCTACGAAGAGCTATACACCGCCAATATTACAAATTTCTTCATAATTTTCAACATTTCGTGAAAATTTCTTTGATGATAATAATCCAGTATTATCATTTGTTAACATTAATATATTCACAACGGAACATAAATATATATATATATATATACATAAAAAATGGGCATAAAATTAACATAAAAATATTTAGGGTGTATGTGAACTTCGTAAATACTTAATATAATGATATATAATGGTTTTTAATTAAACAATTAACTTATCATTTTATTATGCTCTCGTCCAACATACAAATGTAGTTGGAAGTAATTCGGTGGTGCATTTCTCTTCAAAGAAGCTCATAAAATGCGAATCATATTCGCAGATATCTTAACAGCTACGGTAAAATGTACACAGTGTTCGAGAAGTTTTCGAAAGCACCGAGTTTTAAAGTTAAAATAGCCTGTACAAAGATGTTTGCTCGTTATAATTCGTTTTGTACACGAAAGCGAATATATGTGTCGTTTTTATTTCATTTCATATTGATTAATGGAATTTAAAACCGATATTTCCAACTCACTGTGTGAAAATATATCTTAAATATAAGCTTAAAGATATATACCTGACGATAGAAAACGACTCACATATTCCATAATTAAATGGAGATTTTAACTTTGAATTATTAGTTATTTTCGTTATTCTTAAAAGATAAATAATTAATATATTACTATGCGGTTACCTTACGCAAAAGCGTAATACTGTCATCATGAAATTTCATTTTTTTTTCTTCTTTCTTCAGTTTTCTCTCTTCCTTTTTTTTTTTTTTTTTTTTTTTTTTTTTTTTTTTTTGCGGAAAACGAGCACACGATAAATTGTTTCATATTTATCTTTCCATTTTTACAAACAAGATTACGAAGAGACAACCGCTTTATATAAAAACTTTTTAACATTGCTTGATGCACAGAATGTAGATTGCAAAATTAATATTTTAATTCGACCACACAATAATTCGAAAGATGCCATTTTTACTTATAAAGATATATGTGTAGAAATATACAAGGATGTAAAACACAATTGTATTAAATTGTGCTTCGCGTATGTTAACTTACAGAAATAAATTGTAAAAATCACTTATGTGCAAACAGCAGAGTATAAAATATAATAAAGATAGTATTTACAGTATTATATGATTAAATGTTAAGCGAATTCTGTAGTGCCATCTGTTCGTGTCACGTTCTGCTCATTTATTATTATGTTCTAATCGGGCAGAGATTTTGATTTTTTTGAGTGAAAGAGCAGATTCTTTTTATATTGAATAACTATTATACATTTTTCATTCTGCCCTCAATAAATGTTATATAGATGTAAATTATATACTGATCTTATTTATGAGGCTTCAAGAAACACATAAAAATCACTTATATGTATTATAATGTTTTTAATTAACAAGATATAGATACTACATATCTTGATCATTTCGTAATTAGTTTAATAACAATTAATTGTAGAAATACAATTTCTATGCATAGTTTGAAACATACAAAACAATGAGCACAATGGCCAGGCTTAAAATGCCAAAGATCACAAAACACATGAACAATTTGATAGATTAAAGAGAGTGACACTAAATACAGACACTTTAAACTTGCTGTTTGTACTATAATGATCATGACAAATTGGAAAGTCTGCCATTCACTTAACTAAACATCCCAATAATGTAACGTGAATTACATTGTGGGATCATTTATATTTTTACTAACAATATGATAATATATAAAAAAGTTTGAATCTTTATCAACATCGAGCAATCATGAGGCAAGGATAATTGAATCCTCTTAATCATAAAAATGAGCATAGTTTATATCTCAAGCTTTTCTTAATATTATACATTTATATATTATAATCTTAGTTGAAAAAAACAAAAATAAAATGACATGATATACCTCAATATGTTTGACATCGATGTCAATGACATAAAATTAACGATCATTTTTTACAATGAACATGTTGTGTACATGTATAAGAATTATACGCAGATAATCCCCCTTTCTCGTAATTTTATAATTTTGATTCATACAAAGTATCGATCAAAAATAATTTTCAATTTTCAAAATAATTACATACATATATATATATATATAGCTTCTGCCAAATCATCAAACTCAATTTGAATCTATAAACATTATTATTTTGAATAATATCATGTCTACAATGCTTTGCCATCGTGTTTCAAATATGAATTTACGTTAAAAGGGGTAAAAAGACTGCCCAAACATTAAAACATCATTTTTAAACTACAATTCTAAATTCTACTGATATCAAAATTCGCATCAGTACACAAGAGCATGAAAAACTCTTTAATGTATTTGGGAAATAGCACACGAGTTGCAAATAGATAATATGAATGAATGATGAACAATTCACAAAAAAAACCCAGTGATTTCTTTAATCGGTAATAATACCAATCAATAAGATATTCGGAATTATTTACAATTTATCAGCCTTATTTATGCTTGTACATAGGAAACTGGAACTAAATGATATACATATAGATCTATTATTCATATGTGTTGAATATATCCATAATGTATGCGCTCTTATAATTTTTTCAATGCATAATTCCATTCTGTATATTTTATTTTTTACATTGAATTCATTTGCTTGATTATGCTTGTTTATGATTTTTATGATTCATTAGATAAAAAAAAATCGTGATTAATAGTATATGTATTTTTAATAATATCACATATTAGTTAATCACGAAAATTTTATACTACTTATAGTAAATACTAAAGCTTAACTATAATTAATAAAATAATATAAAGCAACACGGTATTGGGTGGATAACAAGGCCAGTAAAGTCTAAAAATTCATCATAACAAAATAATTATAATCACGAAATATAACGTATAAAATACCAAGTTCTCTAAAAAATTTCATTATGAAAAAATGATAATTTTAATTACCATTATCTTCCAATGAAATATATATTTAAAAAAAAAAAGATAACAAGTCAATATGTAAAATGCTTAAAAGTGCATATGTATGTTACAAATAATGCATGTAAATATACAGAGAAATAATAACAATCCACACAATTTTCAAAATTGTTTTAGAAAAAAAAAAAAAAAGAAATCGATAGAAATCGAGACAGTCAATTTGTCATAGTTAGAATTATTTCACGTAACAATAGTAAAAAGGTACAATTACATATAATTAATATTCTTTTTATAATATGTTTTTTTATAAGCATATTTTTTGTCTAAAACAGAAATTTTGTACTACAAACTTGTTTTTTTTTTTATAATTTTGAATTCCAATAATTAATAGGATTTAAACAGAACTGGTACTGTATCCATCCGATATATATAGTTCATATACATATCATAGTCATTCGACGTGGAGTTAATTTTCTCGATTGAGAACAATAGCCAAGCACAAACAGTCCTGGAGGCTAAATAAATAGCGTAGCCGCTTAAAATTGGCTTCACGCTATATAAAAGTTAATTACGATAAAATTTGAAAACTGCGCAACATTGGACCTTCAAAACTGTAAAACGTGCCCATCATATACAATACAATTTATATGTATATATTTCAAGCAGTTATTGAAATATATGTTCATTTATAGGTACGCCAAACATGGCGATGTATAATGTCCACACTAGACTTTCAAAAAGTCTCCATGAATAGATGTAAAATATACATCTTGATTATTTTATACATTGTCTACTTATGATGCTTCTTCTTACTTCAGTTTAAAAACACAGAATATTGAAGTTTTCTTAATCGACACTACATTTTCACTAGACTTTGATAATAAATATTATTATCTTTCCTTTGTTGAATTGTAATAAGTCGATTATTATGCAATTGCAGATTGTTACGTTCTTCTTCTATTTCGTTAGTTATCATTGGTTGAGAAATAAGTTGTAATAATCTTCATTGAAATATTCAATGTGCAATGATATGCACACTTTTGTTTGTCAATTGTATATTTCTTAAGAATAGTTCTTTCAAAGAAATATTTTGTTAAAAGTAATTCCAAACTCCGAATTTTACTTTTACACACCAATATTATGTTTTATATTTATTTGCATGTGATCTTTTTGTAAAGTCTCAAGAATTTGTTTCTGCATATTATGTTCTACCTAAAATTTATAATTGTTTTAAATTTTTAAATAACATATATTAGCAATATTTATTTTTAAAAATTATTTTTCATACCTCTAATGGTGTTAAACTTCCTCTTTTCGCTTGTAAAGCTGGATTTTTGAAGTCTCGTGCCAAAACATTCAACTGTGATTCTTGGCGTGCTATATTATTCATAAGTTGAAGATGTTTTTTCCTTATTTCTTTATTGATTACCTATTATAAAATTGATATGATGATTGCTTTGTATTATTAATATAATATTATTATAAAATTATACTTACCATATTGTCTGTTAATTGTACTTCTGTTTCATTAAAAGTATCTAAAATATTAAAAAAAATTTATTATTGAATCTTATTAGTATTTTTGATATTCTATTTAATAAACATGTATATAAGTATGTACTTACTTTCAAGAATTGGTATATGCCTTAGATCATCAAATATTTTCATTATTAGATCTGTAAAATGAAAATCAAACGTTTACTAAAATCGTAAAAGTTTATATAAGTTAAATTTTTTTAAATCAGAAAAATTAAAATATAAAAGATATAAAAAGAAAAGTCACATATGCATTCGAGCTTGGGCATATATTTTATAAAAAACTCTTGTGCATATTAAGAATAATATCAATATCTATAAATAGATATGATATGATATTGAATGAAAAAGTATCACCCACTACTTTGCAATAAACAAAATTTAGTTGTTTACTTCGTTTGTAGATGCAGGGTTACTGTACTGAGTTCGGTACCTGGATTTGCTTCCAGGTCTGGGCTCAGCAATGAATTGTCCTGAAGATCGCCATATTCCGGTTCCAATTCAGGATTTGGAGCTATAAGTGGTATACTAGAATCCACTTGCTGATAATCAGTTATGACTTCACTTAGACTTGAATTTGGTGATTCAGCAATCTTTAGTGATTGAGGATTTATATTGTTGAAATCCGTTGAAAGTTCTGAAAATTCTTCATCAACGAAAGACTTACAATCAATATAAGAAATATTCTGTTCATCGCTTGTATCCGATGATGCATAAGGAACATTATTATACTGTCTTTTTTTAGTGCAACCTGTCTTAATATCTTCGTCACTATATATCCTCTTCAATGGATGATTCTTTAAATCAGAAGTAACATTATTATCAATCGCATTCTTTTCAAAGTATTCAATCATTGTTTCGGGCATATAAACATCCATATTACGTTCAATTTTAATATTACATGAATTATTTTCTATTGTTGCAACAGGTTTCTTAACTGTAGTATTAGGATTCAAAATATCCACATTTTGACGAAGCTCAAGTTGAGATATTCCAGATTTTCGTTGGGTATTTACGCATGATTCTACATTAGATATACTATTAGTTCGTGATGAATTTTGTTCATCTTGTGTACTATTACGTGTTTGTTTTGTAACTTCATGTACAGTTTTTCTTGACGATCTCGTATTTTCTTGTCTTTCATTAGAGTTATTCTTATTAGTATTTGTCTTTGATTCTGATTTCTGATTATGATTTGCCTTGGCTTGCACCATTAAATAACGATCGATTTTCTTAATTCCAAGTCTTCGAGCTTGAGCTTCAGCAGGAGGTAAATGTTGTGATATCATAGCAGCTTTCGCATACTGTTCATTTTGTGTAGGAGGTGATAGACAATCTTCTGGAAGAGGTGATGACAGATCACTAACTAGATATGTGATAGCATCTTCTAATTGTGCGGGATCCTCCATATTACTTTTCGAATTTGGATTTTGAGAATCTGAGCCCTGTAAATTGTAATGTTCCTAATAATTTTTTAATATTCATTTTAATCTGATAATATTCGACTAACTTTTACTTTATATTATTCGTTACATACAAATTTATAAAATAAATTACCAAATCAATCGATGCATCATCTCCATTTTGGATTATGGCTCTCATGGTTTCAGAAATCGTAGCCGAAAATCTTTTTTTCATCTGTTGCATAAGTTGTATTCCTTCCTCTTCCCTATAAAGAAATTTACAATATTGAATTTATAAAAGAAGATGAAAAGATGAAAAGAAACAATTATTAATATATCGTAAAACTTACGATACTAATGTATTTATGCACACAAGGGATACTGCAATTTGTGTATCCTTATCTACTTCTAAATATCCATGAGTGCGTAGATAAATGGGTTCTCCTGTTTTTGATGTTAATCTATAACAAGATGATCCACAAGTTTCCGCGCGATCGTACACTGTAAATTAATTCAAACAATTAAAAACCATGTACATGGATTACAATAAAATGCATAATTATTAACATATAAATTAAAAAAAATTATAACTGTAAAAATAAAAAGATAAAAATACTTGGACTCACTTTGACGAAGTGCAACCATCGCCCAAATACGATCATCTTTATGCATGAAACCAAAAGCACTCATACCCGATACTTCTTCCGATAAATATCCAGCCACAACTGACACCCTATGATCACAATAAATGATCCTGCCATCTACCAAATGTCGAGTGATATACTCATTCTTATTAGCATCTATTATCGAAATTTTCGTGAGTGGCTGCTTCATCAATAATTGTGCTACACCCACGAAAACGATGTCGTTACTGGTTGAAGTAATTTCTATAAAAAAAAAAAAAATTGGAATGATCAATCTTTTGTTTAATTCAAAGTTTTTCATTAATTTAAAATTCAATTTATAATTTGAATGATTAATTTAAAAGATTAATATAACATACATCTATAACAATTTTTTTTATTATAAATAAAAAATTATTATAAATATGATAAAATGTTATTAGCATTTCAAATCATTGTTCATACATTGTTATGTATCATTACCTCGATGTCTCGATCGATTAACATTTGACGCGGAATTTTTGCAAGCATCCGCAAGCCTGAGCATTCCAGAGAATTCAAACCATTCGTACTGTGTATGTTCTCGCCTCGATGAAGTACGATGCAACATTCGAAGTTCGAAAGTCCGCCTCTGATTCTGGAACGTTTTACCGTTCTTCGAAGATGTTGAATCCTCCGATGAATTGGAATTGTCATTCGATCCGTCGGTGATCTGTGGCAATGACGAGGATACCACACCTTGCATTTCATCCGGGTTAAGGTTCCTCGCAAGCTCCTCTTCATCTTTGGGATGAATGAATGCGTAAAGAGAATGGCCAAGTAGGTCCGCCTGTAATATATTATACATTTTATAGAAGAGTGATCACTGATTATTCGATTATTTTTCTTTTTTTCAAGTTTGATGAAAAAGAAAGGTTAGATGGAGAAAATTAATATCTCAATAAAGAATAGGAAGGCGTGATTAAAACAATGTATTAATTTGATATTCAATTCCAATTGACATCTTTGGATTACGTATACCTAGAATCAAAATTTTAGATTAAATTATATAAATAGTTAATTAAAACTAAAACTTAACTTTAACTATTAATAATCTCTTGAGCATTAAAATTCAACTCTAATCGCAATCAATCATAACGAACAAACTTCCTCAAATTCGAAATCCGATTCCATTAAATTTTACGAAAACTTTCGATGACTGATCGTTAAAACTATTGTAGAAAGCTGGCATTAGATCCACGCGTTCTTATTCATTTTCCTTCTGCATCTTGACTTCGATTTGTTGCGATTTAATCGCGACGAACACGGTGCACCATGTCGGCGACGAGGCTCGTTTTCACCACAGGGAGTTTCTCCTTGAGAACAATACCGACTGATTGTGAGTATCTCCTTAAAAAACCTAGAAGATCCCGCGCAAACAACTCACCGCACCGCCTCCACATTCTTTTCTTTCTCTCTTCCTCTCTTATTTTCTTCCTTCTTGATCTCTCCTTCTCATATCTCTCTTCTTCGATCTCTCTATCTTTTGTCACCGAGTTTCTTCCTCCTTTCGTCCTAGTATATCCTTACACTCTGAAGTTATAACTCAGTCGAACGTTAGTAAGCAAGTTCGTTATGTTCGAGCATCGAATTATCGTTATACTCGAATATGGAACGCCATGACAGTTTTTACGGAATCACGTGGATCGATAGAACTTTTTATCTTTCGATTATTCGAGAGTCTGGTCTTCATCATTCTATTCTTTTATCAAAAAGATTTTCGATTTCGTTTTCGTTTTCTTTTGTCTGATATACAAAATGTTTAAATGATGAATTTGTCATAAATTGATTTAAATTAAGAATTTAAATTAACCTTTTATCCGTATATACTCGTTATCGTAAAAGAAATGACAATTTTTTATATTATAACGAATATTCTCGTTATCTCTCATTTTTGTAAGACAATTTAAACATTTAATATATTAATAATTAATAGTTTAAGAAACACGTATATCTTTAAATGTTGTAATATCTTTAATATTATAGTATATAGTGAAAACGTATCTTGAACATATTAATATTGTTAAAATTTCAAAGAATAGAATGAAAACGACGAATAGTCGAATTCAAGAAATTCTGTTTTAAGAATATTCTCAATCGGAGTTTTCGTAATTACCGAAATATTGTGGTCTAAAGTTTCAGAGGAACTTTATTCGTTATTCTCTAACGCGCGCTTCTCGACTTAAAGGACACCAGTTATGAAGTTAATAACGAACCGAAGTCGACTGGTTGTATGGGCATTCCACGATTCTATTAAATTCAAGAATACTTGACGATATAGAGGAAATAAAAAAAAAAAAAAAGAAAAAAGAAAAAGAACAAACAAAAAATCAAGAATCAAAATTTTCACGATAATTAATCATTTTATTCGTCGAAAAATATATAATAACATTCTTCAATGAATCAAAATTTGAATAACATTCGTTTCAATTTTTGAACAAAAATCATAGAACAAAAAAAATTACAGCAAATATCTTTGATCTGATATTTTCTATTATTTTTTAACGTCGTATGGAAATGAAAACGGAATGAATATTGATGATATTTCGAGTTGTTACGAGAAAAAAAAAGAAGAAACATCATTTTCTTGTGAATGATTTCTGAAAAATAATTCGCTTATCGTTGAAATGGCAAACATTTTTTATATCGTTTCAACTATTCTAGACAAAGTAATATGCTCTTGTTAATTCCATTCATCCTTATATACAATGCTTCTATTAATTTTTTATCTCTTGTTTCTTTTTATTTATTTTTTATTTATTTTTTTTAATCCCATACATATTTTTTATTTATTTTTTATTTATTTTTTATAATCGCATTATTTGTATCTGTTTAAATCCTATTGATTCCGTTCGAAATAATCCGAGTCTGTACACGTGCAACAAACAATTCGATTGAAAATCGAGTTCGTATCGGATCACGTAGTTAACTGGTTATTCTTTACATGAACAATAAATAGAAGATGAAAAAAAAAAATATAATAAGATAACGAAATAAGGAATAAAAAAAATAATACATCGATGAATCGAAAAAGATAGAATACCTTGTTATTTTTCTTGGAAAAAAATATATTAATGAAAAATACTTAATTAATAATAATTTTTTGCTGAGTTGATCGGCTTGTCATTATTTATAAATTAATAAATATTTTTATATTTTTGATAAAATTTTAATAAAATTTTAATAATTTTCTGATACACTTTAAATATATTCGTGAAATATTAGAAAAATATATTAGAGATTTAAAATAATTAGATAAATATCTTTTATTTACCTAATCTTATTTTTAGAAAAAGATATATTTTTTATCTCTCTTACATCGAATCTCTTAAATGTTGATAAAAATGATTCTACGAAACATGGAAAAAATTCCATTAATAAATAAAAATAATGAATTAAACAATATAAAACCGTGAATAATCCATGCAAATTTCCAGAAAGATTTAATACGTTGAAAAAAATATTGCAGGTGCAGAGTAGTTACCATGGCGGCCTGGTTCGTTTGATCGATAATTTGGAACCCTTGGAAAGAGTTATGTTTCATTGCAACTGCAATTGGATCGCTATTGAAGCACTGCGAAGAATTAATCTCGCGGAGAAAAATTTAATTTAAGGAAAAACAAAAGTCTTTATCATTTTATTGATCGTTGAAGAATTAACCAGATAGAACTAGAAAGAAAAATAATATTTTTATAAATACATATTACAAACAAAAATCTTTCTCATTCGAGAAATACGAAATAAATTTTTTAAATAATAAAGAAAGATTATAACTACCTTGAATAATAAAATAAAATAGTTGATTATTCGTTGTTGTAAAATATAAAATTAAAATTGGAAGTGAAAATAAATTTTTATTAGAAACATAATCTGCTTTTTTCGTCGAGCAGAAAACCATAATACGGTATCACGAATGTGATTTGATATTTTAAAAGAAAGGGTAAAGTATATTCCTTTGCGGTTTTATATGAAATTGGGATGAATATCCTATTTCACGTGACTTTTTTCACAATTTTTACATTTAAAATATATTTTCTTGCGCGTTACTGCTTCGAATTAAAACACATTATTATTTAAGAATTTATAACAAGATAAAAATAAGTTTGGTTTGCGTTACAGAATACAAACCAGTTGGGGATGAAACGGACAATGCAACGATCGCAAAGATTGATAAAACAATAGAAGCATAAATACACGATTGCGTGTCTGTGGGCGTTTACGTGTGTTTTTAAGCGAGGGTGAGTGTATTTTTAAGGACGGATAGCGTGGGATGAGGGTGAAGCTTGAGAGGATAGCGAACAGAGCGGAAGTTTTAGAAAGCACGGATTGAACAGACTAGCTTAGAGGGTTTACAGCGAGGAAATTTTTCGTGAGAAAGAGGGTTATGATAGAAGAAGTATGTTATGATAGAAGTAGAAAGGGTAAAGAAATGGATAAAAGGAGAAAAGAAGGGAAAGTATAGATGAAAAATTATCCATTGTTCTTTCTTTTTTTTTTTAACATTATCTAACTTTTAATCCATTATAAATAATGAAATCTAAAAATTGATATAAAATATTAAAAATAAAAGTTTGATAACTATGTTAAAAAAATTTATAATTTGATATATCATGAAACTTATTCAAGTATGTTATATAATATCAGCAAAAGAAGCAATTAGATTTCAATTTTGCAAAAATAAAATAAAAAAGGAACACGCTTAAGATAAAATTTACCTGAGTATGACCAAGATGTTCTTGAACTTGCCGACTGACGTATACTATTTTTCCGGTGGTCGTGACAACAATAAAGAAGCTCCCGTTTTTAATCAAATTCTGTTACGGTTAACAAAAATGATTTTAACGTGTATTTAAGGATAAATAGAATTGAATCGATTTACGAGTACTCACATCGCCTATATATTGTTCCAAATCCAGATCACCAAGTTCTCGAGGTAGAAAATCAGATACGCCACGTCCAACAGCTGAAAATGCACAAATGATCGTTAAACTAGTGAACATAATAATTGAACAATTCAATGGAAATCGAGATAATCAAAAGAAAAAAAGGATCTTTTTCTTTTTACAATTTAAATATATGTAATATATGTAATTATGAGGCCAATTGTATATTTCTCGATTCATCTGATTTCTCTAAACTATTTAATATGAAATAATAATAATAATAATAATAATAATAATAATAATAATAATTTCAATTATAAAAGAAAAAAAGATGGTAATTAAATCAAAGAATTAAAAAAAATCTTATTTCGAATTAATTTTTTCACTTGCATCATATCTGAGCAATCTTTTGTATAATAAAATCTTAATCAACTCTTTATAGAATTAAATATGAAATTTAAAACTTTATACCAAATGATCCTTTTTAAATTAAAAATAATTTCATCTTCGAATCTTTCAATTAAAAATTCATCTCTCTCAACATTGAACGTAAAAAAATTATTAAATTGAATCTCATACTGTATCGTATTCTGAGGAAATTAGCGGCTAATCTCAGGATAGATATCTTGTCCATCTTCCTCGGGCTTTCGGCGACAGTTGGTACGAGCGCGGCCATCGCCGAGATATTCGTATTAAGATTGTCTCGGCGTTGTTTCTCCGCCATGTTCCGTGACGCTCTTGGATTGCTATACCAAAAAAAGCAAAAAAAAAAAAAAAAATGAATTTTTGTTTAAATTTCTTCTTTCAATCCTTCTTCGAGGGTGTATTCTAATTTCTAATTCATATATCATTCGAAAATGATGGAAGAGGGTTAAGACATCAAACGAAATCGATGTCCTACATTTTACGGTCGGCCCTTGGCTTACAGAGAAGGCTTATAAGGCCTCCTAGTCATCGATTTAGTTAGTCGAAATTTAATTCGACACTGATAGATCTCGTTATTCCATTTATATTACAACGATCTATGTACATTGAGTTAATTATTGTAATTGAATTGGATATATTTATAAATAATGTAGTTATTAATTTAAAATTATGAATAAGAAAAAAATGGATAAATAAAAAAGTTTTATTAAAAATTATTTCTCGAAACAATCGCTGTTTTAATTGATCATGGTAGTTTCTATTTTAAAAAAAAAAAAAAAAAAAAAAAAAAAACTTTTATACGGGCTCGTGTTGCAGAAATTAAATAACCTGGAGGAAAAAGAACTTTTGAAATAATTGAACAGTTTTATAAAGTTTTGATATCTAGAAAAAAATTAAATTAAAGTTTAAAAATCAATTTCATCGTTTCGACGTCGTTTTATAATATCTATTTTATAAAATAAAAGTGTAACAATTTAATAAATAATTATATTTCCTTCTAACAAAAGTTGTAATAATTTGTATTCATTGATTCGATATAATATAATAAATATTTATTTATAATTCGATATCATTAAAAAAAAAAAAAGAAGAAAAAAACAAATCAAATGTGTAATATTTTATTTTAATTTTTTTTTTTTTTTTTTTTTTATTCACTCACCTTTGGTATTTAAATAGTCGATTTATTTATTCGTACAAATGACGGTCATGCAAATAAACTGCGCACGTGTAACGAATAAGGAAAACATTGCGTGGTAGGAACGACAAATAATGCGAATGTTATATAAAATACAACAGTAATGAACGCACAAAATTATCCAAACTATATTACGATTATAACATTTTCAATTATGAGTTATTATATTATAATTAGTCTACATTAATTCAAATAGAAAATGTAAAATTCCCGCCAAAAATTATATAGTTTATATAGTTTCTAATAATAGATTTCATAATATTAATTTTAAAATTAAATTCTCTTCGTAAAGATATTTCATGATATTAATTACTCGTTACTTGTTTACATTTAACATTTTACATCACAGTTTTAAGAACGTTTCGTAACGAGATAAACAAAATAAAATATCTTAGACAGAAAACAACAACAAAATAAAATATCAAAGAATGATGGATTTTGAATAAATCTATTTTAATACAGTTAATCGAAATATATATATATTTAAATATATATATAAATATATATATTTATTATAATTATATATTATAATAATATATTATAATAATATATATTATAATTATATATATATATATAAATATATATATATTTCGATTAACTGTATTAAAATAGATTTATTCAAAATCCATCATTCTTTGATATTTTATTTTGTTGTTGTTTTCTGTCTAAGATATTTTATTTTGTTTATCGTATTGATAATATAATAATTATCTATTATTACTATAATAATTATCTATTATTACTATTTAATTTTCATACAATCTTTTCATTCATCTTATTAAATAACAAACAATTAATTACTCAATTACACTCAATTATAAAAATATTAATTTTCGAGATTATTCCGTATCTCAGTAAATCTCATAAGAATTACTTTACTTCATCCATTGAATAGAATCATCTTCTCCATTTATTTTCACTCGAAACATCGTTCTCCCTTTCCACTTTCGATTTTAAATCACCGTTTGAATAACCGTCCAACGACAAAAGGAGGCATTGAGAAAAAACCGAAAAGCTGCGTCACGTGTTATAGAGAGCATCAACCAATCAACGAGTGAAATGGTCTAGCCTGTAACGGCCCTCTTCACTTTGAAACAAATTCGAAGGGAAATATCTGTCACGTGTCAGATCCAAATTTGGCCGAATATGTTGTTGAACCGAGATGCGTAAAATTGTAATAATTGAAATAAAGTTAGTAAATTAAGTTCAATATGTAACTTCATACTTTATTATATTTCAAAACATCGAATAATCGAAATAATAATTGGTGCCAAACAATCGAGGTTATACGAATCGATTATAATAGCTACGAATAAATATTATTCGAGAATTTTTTACTTAAAGTAACTTAATTTTTAACTACTTTTCCAATTGGGTTAATGCCCAGTGCTCTGATGTCGAACGATCCAAAAATTAATTAGTTAAAATTTCGAATAAAGTTGCTTCGAGTAATTTATTTATAATTTTATTTACAAACTGTTCGAATAATATTTATCCGCAGCCATTATAATTGATATAACCACAATCTTCGATATAATCATAGAGCTACGATTAACTGCGGTTATTCAACGCTTTGAATAACAAATTATTCAAATAATTTATTGAAGTAAATTTATTCTTAACTTCAACCGTTGAAATTTTGCTCGTCTCTGCTTATTGCTTTACTGTAATAATTTCTCGTTTTTTTTTTTTTTTTTTTTTTCTTTCTTTTTGCATCCATGACTAACGACACAAGGTCTGTCATTGAACCTTGAAACTCGGCTTTTTCATAGATTCGAAGTAGATTCGTTCAAATACAAAGAGAGAAAGAGAAAGAGAGAAATTCGAAGGTTAAGCGAAATGTTCGATCATTTTTAGTCTTTTAGATGATTACGTTTAAAAGTTCGTGTCGCCGATTTATCCACGTTTCTCGAGTAACGTATCATTTTAATCGAATATTAATAAAAATTTGGATGACGTAAGGAACCCAAATGATTCAACTCGATGAGCGGTTCTCGTGAAAGCTGTTAGAACTGGTTGCAAGTGTATCTTGCATATACATATGCAAGATATATATATGCATCAATTTTGTTCGAGTGAAAAATTCGACTCGAATTACGATCTCTTTCGTGTTTCCATGCTTAACCCTTTCTCCTCGATCCTTATCTGTCGTCTTTCTTAACAATTTTTCTTCTTCTTTAAAAATTATTAAAGATATAATTTAAATTTGAAACTTAATAATGTCGCATCGATCATTTTGAAAATTAGAAGATCGCGAAAAATTGTATTATTTCAATTAATCTTTTCGCAAGATTGTGTAATATCGAACGAGACGGAATATAAGAAAGAGAGAATAATAATTACTTAGATATATAATAATTATTTAGAATAATAATAATTATGCAAAATACATCATGTTAAATGTATTTTATATATATATATAATATATATATATATATATTTATATAATATATTTTATGTAAATATAACCTATTTATCAATAACAGTTACATAACAGTCAACGATGAAAAATCAAATATTGAATCTCGTCATCAAAGTGATAAAACGAACATCTTAAAAAAGAAAAAAAGAAAAAAAAGAAAAAGAAAAAACGATTCAACGACCTGTTGTTAGGATCAAACTCCAGCATGACTTATTCGCGTTGCGTTCCAAAACAGGAAGCGATGAGAAGAAGTATACTCGTAAATCTATGTGTTGTTTGATACTCGTACAATGGAACAGCTGTTATGTACGCGTTTATAATCAAGGTCTCCGCTACACGGCTGTAATCTACGCCTAAGTTAATAATAGAATCATTGCCGTAGTGCAGTGACGACTTCAAGAGTGGTACTTATGCGTCTCGACGTATTGAAAAATCGCCAATGTCTGTCTGGCTGACATATCAACCGCTCTCTTCAACGTCGTATAAACAAAATCAACCAGATAACTGGTCGACTTCTCTCTCTCTCTCTCTCTCTCTCTCTCTCTCTCTCTCTCTCTCTCTCTCTCTCTCTCTCTCTCTCTCGAAACAAGTAATATTTCGTTTGATTCAAAATATAAATTTTGAAAAGTTTCGTGAAATTTTACGTAATTTCGAGGAAAATGATTATTTTATTTCATGAAACATAATATTTTGTGAGTAAACTAACTCTGGTTTTAACGAGCATCGAGCATTTTCAATTTGTCTATATATTGGTATTTTCCAAGTTTTCTCGAAATATGGTTTTGATTTTTTCTTTTTTTTTTTTTTTTCTCTATTACAATAATTCTCTATTTGTTCTGCGCATAAGATTTAAGAAAAATTTAAAAAGTAATATAATATTATTTGCGTGAATATTTTGAAAAGTGCGGCAATGTGTTTATATTAAAACAAATAAATGTTCATCTAAAAATAACGACGAACGAATATACAGTTGAACGATGGTCACTCGTCAAAAGAGGACGGTTACGATGTTTCCAAATGCTAAATTTATGTTTTTGGTAATCCCGCTGACCTTTTCAGAAGTTTCAGATCAACTAGAAAGAAAATTTAACTCTCTGATTTTCCGATTTCCCGATATTTCGTGCTCTACAAATTACTAAACTAGTAAAAAAAAAACTTGTACATGCTTCGATCAATTAAAAAAAAAAAAAAAATCACATTTAATTTAAACAATAAATATACTTCTTTCATTCGAGCCGTTTATTCGTAATTTTCTACTTAGACGAAATTTGCATTTGATTATTTAATTAGAAAAACAGAAACGTATTTGATTTTTTAATTGGGAAACAGATTGTTTGATTTGATTGTTTTTCTTTTTTTTTTTTCGCATTTTTATTCTATATTTTTCATACGCGTGATCGAAGCACAATGTGAAAATTTCGAGAATCATCGAGTTAAGATTATTATACACAAGCGTTGCACAATAAAAATAAAATAATTAATTTTTGTTAATTATCCTAGTATGCTGATATTATCGTGCATAATAACTAAAAACAACATCTTTCGATGTTTTGATACAGTTACACAGAGAGTCTACGGAGAATCTCGACAAAACAAGATAAACAAAAAAATTCAATCTTGTGTTTTATGATATAAAATTCAGGAAAATTCGTATAAACTTACGAATTTAATATCAACAATTTATTATCTTTTACTACATTAAC